GGGGGGGGGGGGGGGGGGGGGGGGGGGGGGGGGGTGGGGGAGGGTGAGAATTTCGATGATTTAGAATAAAGCAGCTTTAAAAAGAGAAAGCAACATTTTTAAAGGTGAGAACTTTTTGCTAACGCTTGTCCTCAAAGACCATAATAATAAAATCGCCCATGTGTGTTAGAAGTTCCAGGCCACAATAATGTATATCTCGTGACTCTAAAAATGCTTGCACGCAGTCATGCGGTAACTCGGAGTTGAATATTATGTTTTTGCGGCCCCTGCATAAGTGCTCAATTTAAGCCCACCTGAGCATACCAAAATTGGCCAACGAGAATAGCTTCATTTAAAAGGTTTCGCTCTTTTCTCCCGCCTCTGCTTCAAATCACGATTACTTCATTCCTTTACTCGATGAGTATTTGCATTAAATCTAATAAGTGCGTATGTTAATAGCGTTAAATAACCATGAGTGAAATTAGGCACCGTTAACATCTTAGTGACCAATCCTACGTTTGACACACTAGGTAATTGAAATATGACAAAAAAGTTGCATCATAATTCTCACAATCGATGATTTAATCACCCGATGCGAGTTTATGTGCGCAGAGGGACAAATATTGAAAAATATATGACACGATTGAGAACAAATGGGACGATAATTTTGAACGACACAGAAGATGAGGTAATATTGAGAGCACAAACACAATAAAGCTATCTCTATATCAACGCACAACTTATTACATAAGGATGGAATTTTTTAATGCCTCATGTTAAAATTCAGTATTCATAAATGGCTTGAAATGGAGGTATAATTAATCTCCACTACATCAATTTAAGATGTTTCTACTAACGATATACATTTACCACTTCCAGCTATTGATACTTAACTCTAAGTGGTGTGCGATAGACTTACCTCCACGTGGTGCGCCCTGGAAGATGCATGCTCTTACGGCAAAAGAAGTCTATAACCCGCCAGTTGAGATCTAACTTCAAAATACCATGGTCTCACTGTATGCCATAGAAGATTAATCCCCATTACTCACCTCACCTTCTTCTCTACCTTTATGTCTGTCCTTTCTACATGTCTGAACCACTCTTCTGTTCCTCTCCTTTGTGAAGGCCGAAGTCAACTAAACGGCTGATGGTAACTATCGTGAAGCCCGGCATTTGATATAAATAAAAAACAAATATTTAACATTAATGAAGTTGCTGTGTTAGTTGCAAACACAATTCAAAAAGCTATTTCCATACGCTCATTATGAAATATAATGCACAAAGCAGAGTCAAAAACACATTAAAAATAGAAATTTCATCACCTTGTCCGTTCTTACGTCTACTGCAGGTAATCTAGGTGGTAGGTAAAAATGACTGATTATACCCATCAATTTTCCCGTCATTATTGACAGTTATGAAGCGTTTCGATATCTGCAGCCTTCTATTTCCGAGTGAGACCGAGATGACTCGTCAAAATCGGTAGTTGAGGCTAATTTAGCTCTGTGAATCTTACCTATGAGTTAGCATTGGAGATAAACGTACTTCTTTCAACTTGGCAATGAACTGCCTTGCGGATATGGGCGTGAATCACACATTACAATGCTTATTCAACTTAGATAGAAATTTTTTGTCTACTAATATTTGATAGTAGCCGTCAAATTACGTAGGACAAAATTATTGGCTTTATGTTTAATTGAAGGCCTTAATAGTTTTATACTATTTGTTAGAGATTGGGTGCGCAATAGACTTACCTCCAAGTGGTGCACCCTGGGCGATGTTTACTTATACGGCATAAAAGTCCATTTATCGGCAGTTGACTTCAAACTACTATGACCCGACTATTTGTCATATTCAACTCCTTTCACAGTACTCATCTTACCTTTTCTATGTCGTTGTGTCTGTCTGTCTTTTACATCTGTGAATCAATCTTCTGTTCCACCTCTCGACTTTTTGTCACTTTGATGTTCCTCCTCCTCTCTGTGAAGCCTGAAGTCAACTAAAAGGCTAATGATAACTATCACAAAGCCTGTCATTTAATATTTATTTCAAATGGCAGGCTTTATGATATTTATCATTAGCCCTTAAACTTTGACTTCAGCTTCCCCCAAGGGTGAGGGGTACATATATAGCAGTTAATTAATAACAATTCATTAGCTATCTTCTTGCTTTCCAGTATCTTTGGCTTTCCGGCGTTGTCTTTAGAGCTGGACATCGAATCAGGTGGGTCTTCTCCATTTCCTCCTGTAGGTTACATAGAGGGCATGTGGGTTGAGTGTATACTCCCAATCTGTGAAGATGTTTTGCCATGCAATCGTGTCCGGTACGTAGTCTAAACTCAGAAACGGCTTCGATTCTTGGCCAGTAGGGTATGTCGGAGAGCGCCACTGTCCACTGTTTCTCCTTTGTTCGAACTTTAAGTTCGTTACACCTTGAGGTATGGAATTCTCTTCTGATTAAGGCCTTCATTGTGTGGAAAGACATCGGCCGGTCCATGCATTGCAAAATCGTTGTCCCCTTCTTAGCAAGTGTGTCAGCAAGCTCATTGCCTTTAATGCCACAGTGACCAGGAATCCATTGTAGGACCACTGTTTTCATTTTCTCTCTCAGCAGCTCATAGAGTTTTCTACATTCCTTTATCTCAGCTGTTTTGGGTGGCACTCTGATTCCAATAGAGTTTATTGCTGACTGTGAGTCCGAAAGTATCACCGCTTTGGTGAATTTCATATCCAGGCAACATGATTGGCAGAGTGCTATCCTAATGGCCTCTATTTCTCCTTCGAAAGCGGATCTATTATGTCCCACTGCTGCGTAGAAAGAGAAGAGTTCAGAATAGACACCTGCACCAACGTTTGTTTGGTTTTCTATGTATGACCCATCAGTGAAGACTTGAAGCCATTGATCACCAGGATAGTTGACATTGATTGTCTCAAGGGCCAGTGAGCGCATTTGTTCTAGAGGAGTTTTTGATTTCCTGAAAAAGTCAAGCAGTTGGGTGCAACACACTACATCAGTGTCTGCTAATGAGTTCATGGGGGGAGAGAGNAGGACAGCTGATTGTCGTCTCCAGGCTTTTACGTCTTCCGTTCTTCCAGTCAGATCAGCAGTGTTGCGAAGGGCGTCCCTCTTTCTTTTCAGTTTCTCAAGGTGTCTAGACCAAAACACTCGATAGTGTTTAGTTTTGCCTCGGGGAATAGTTTTCTTTGCACATCTAATCATAATATTCGTGATAGCAGTGCAAAGTTTGTCAGGATGTTGGTTGAAGTTGAGGGGACTTGTGTGAAGTTCATTATCTAAAAGGCTTGTGAATCTTGGCCAGTCAACCTTCTTGAAGTTCCATGATAGCTTAGTTGACACTTTCCATGTCATGCTTTTGCTGCCGATGGTAATACTAGCAATGACTGGTTTGTGACCAGAACCAGGATCGTCAATTATTTTGCTGTGTGTATGCTCACTGATGTCGCTTGAAGCCAAGAGTAAATCAGGAGTTGTTCTGGTTCCATTGTAGTGCAAATATGTAGCCGGATCCTCATTGCTGTAAATAAGTTCCAGAGGGTTGCTGTTTAGCATGTCTTCGATTTCCTTTCCAGCTATGTTTGTATCCTTGTAGCCCCATCTGTTTGAATGGGCGACGAAGTCTCCTAATACTACAGTTTTGTGTGAGATGTTCAGAAAGTCAAAGTTGGGACAATTCTGAGGTGGATTATAAATTGCAAATACCTTGAAGTGGTTTTGACATTTCCAAACATTTAATCTGATTATTTCACATATGTCTTGTGTCGAGCCCATACTCTTGATTAGATCGTAGTGTGAGGTGTGGCCTTCTTTCACTCCAGTTAGAATTCCACTTGCAACTTGCCGGTATTTAGGTAAAAGGTACAGGGTGTAACCTGGGAATTGGTAGTACTTCAGTTTGTCATCCGAAATGTTTGCTTCCATAATTGTGAAAATGTCTACATCATAGGTTTGTAGGATTTTCTGTACTTGGATCTTTTTGTCCTGTGAGATCCCCCCCAGCATTCCATTGAAGGATCTGAAGACGTTGTGATTCGTTGCGATTTCTCTTGTAGCCTTGTTTCAAGCTAATCATAATAAATCGAAGTCAAATCAAATGCCGAGTGATAGACTTTTTTGCCGTAAGAAAATACGTTGTCCAGGGTGCACCACGTGGAGGTAAGTCTATCGCGCACCCCGTCATTTAATATAAATATTTGTTAGAGATTGACTGACTATGTTCCAGTGTATTGAAGTTAAATAATATCATTCCCTTTAGTTTTAAATGGCAAAACTCTGCAAATACCACCAGCCCTCGACTTCCAAAATCGTCGAGGAAGGAAATGCGGTCCTACTCTAGTTACCCTATGTTCTTGAATAACTAATTAACCGCGTATTTGTGGGAGACGTAACTTGTTGCATGACTTCCATTGTGTGTATCTCACAACTTAACTTCATGTTAAGCTAGACAACTAGAGTGCGAACACCACGTTCCCGATCAATATGTAGTTTTTTCATAATGCGGACTATTAAAACATCTCAATTTAGTCGATTTAAAGTACCTTTCGCTGAGCATATCACCGAAGTTTTCAATAAATCCATAAGTTAATTAACAGAGCAGTGAATTGTACCAGAATGCAATGGTTTTGTAAGTATTGTGCTTCGGTTAGTGATATATGTTGGAGGTGTATTGCGAAGAAACATGAGCGTCTCATTGGTAGTTGCTTTAGTTTGTCACGTAGAAATACCGGTATTAATTAATGGTGTTATGAAGGCGATCACATGTTCTCAGAAAAAAATCATTAGCGTTGAGGGGGAATGAATTTTTCGAGTTATAAATTGAATATTAAGACACTGCTCTCTACTTCTTGAAAAGAATAAAAGTTTCTTGCACACGTTTTTTTGCTAATATCCTTTTGAGTTGTAACTCGTGAAAAGTAGGATTTTATAATGAATTATATAATTATTGCAGAAATTGACAGACTATCAAGTTGCGCGATTTATCCAAAGATAAATGGCGAATTTGTTCAAAAAAGTTAATGTTAAGGTGATTTATGGAATTTCAATTTTCCGGTCAATGAGAATACTAATATACCCTTCTATTATCGACTGGTATCCAGGGTAAGAAATCATGTGGCTCCAACTATGGATCTCTAATGCCAAGTGACAAAATTCTAGGCTTTACTTTCATTTTATTTTCCCAAGATTAATTTATTTATTTATCTCAAATGGCAAGGGTTTTGATAGTTATCATTAGCTCTTTAGTTGACTCTGGGTTTCACAGAGGAGAGGAACATCAAAGTGAGAAGAATTCGGGAGAAGAAACAGAAGAGTGATTCACAGAAGTAAAGGAGACAGACAAACATAAAGGTAGAGTAAAGGTAAGATGAGTATTGTGTAAGGGGTCGAATATGACATAGAGTTGAGTCATGGTAGTTTGAAGTCAGAAGTCAACTGCAGGTTTATAGACTTTTTTGTCATATGGGTATACGTTGCCCAGGGTGCACCACGTGGATGTAAGTCTATTGCCCACCCCTATTTTAGCAAGTTTAGTCTCAGAATATATGATTATTAATGGGTAATGATAAATGAAGTCGACGAGTAAGATTTGAGGTAGAAGAAGGATGAGGAATCTATCAAGATCATCAAGAATATCATTCCATTTGAGTCCTTGATGCCCTTGTCCCAAACTTTAAACTACACGTTAAGCACCTTAATTCCACGTTTACTTTGAATGCTTGATTAACATAGTTTATTGATTAAATGAATTAGATACCTTGCCCATTATGTCACCTAGATTCGTTTTTTTTTCAAAGATCCAATGGCAACATTATGAAATTAGAAACAAGATATGCAACATAATGAACTAAAGATTACTTAACGTAATTGAGTTCACTAAAACCGTCCCCATTTAATTTTTCATACTTTTTATCCATGTTTAGAGGAGAAAAAAACTGTGCGATTAATTTAAAATTTATCTGGATGTAACGTAGAACGGCAGACGTCAGTAGATCAAACAGGAGCGTTGTTTTTTCCTTATTTAAAACTATGATTGATAGTGATCTTGGCCTCTTTCATTTAATTAAAATTACATTAAACCCTAAAAAGTCTCTCAATTGCAGAGAATATAGTGTAGTATAGAACTTGTGATAATATTGCTTAACTTCTCCGAAAACTTTGAAAAGATGTGCGGGGGTAGTATGGATAACTCATCGCTTCCGTAATCTCCAAATTGCTAATGCATGAATGAGAATAAATCTGTGATCATCGCCTTTTATGATTGGTGGTTGCTTGGTAAAGTGAAGAGAAAAATGCATTATAAAATGAAGCCTTAAAGTAACTTCTTTCAAACCAAATCTACTTGGAGAACAAAATGTCTAGATCTAAGTAAGCTGGAATTCTCCCTAGTCAATGCCATGCCATTGTATTATGGTTTAAATCAGTAATTTTCTGTATTCCAGAGGCGTGAAAGCTCTTTTTGAACGAATGGATGCTGATGGCTCCAAGCAAATAGACTGCAGGGAACTAAGGCGGGCTTTGGGTGAGGATAAAGTAAACAGCGATGTTATTGAATTGTTGTTCCAAAAATACGATAAAAACAAGGACGGATTTCTCGATGAGAAGGAAATTAAGAAATTCTTCAAAGAAAATAGCTTATACTTAGACCTTTGCAACGAGAATATGATGCCAGTTTGCAATAAACCAGCACAGTAAGTAATATTTTCCTCAATTTATTTCTATTTTAATCACTACTTTTAACGTTTGCTATTGTTAATTAAAGGCCAACTTCCGAGAAGAGGAGAAAGTGGGTTTTTTGTTTCAATTTATTTCTATTTGTATTCCTTATTTTATTATATATTTAATTAATTAAAGGTCAAAACTTGGAGTCAAAGATTTATTTGAAAAAATGGACAAAGATGGTTCGAATAAAATCGATTGTCATGAATTGAGAGTGGCTTTGGGACAAGATAATGTCAACGTTGAACTTGTAAGAAGACTATTTGAAGAATACGATACCAACAAGGATGGCTACCTCGATGCAAAGGAACTCAAAAAGTTCTTCAGACAGAATAAACTCTACAGTGATCTCTGTGCTGAAAATATGAAGTAGTTTTCCAAAATGCACGCTTTTAATAAAGTTATTACCACTATAATTGATTATAACGTTTGTTTTATTGAATCGAAGTTCCGTAAAATGGCAATTTTCATTACAATTATTATTTAGATACATTAAAATGTCTATTGCAATAAGTTTAATTACACGGAACTGATGGAACTGAAAATGCCTTCTGCATGGCTGTCTGTTTCAATGGCTTAAAAGATTGGTTTTTATCTCCCATTTTACTAATAAAGAAATACGACGCTAATTCACTTTATCCCACATTGAATCTCTTATTCGTAACAATATTCGTCCACATTTGGGCAACTTGAAATAAAATAAGTGGTCAATCGTTCGATCTTCAATCTAGTGCAACGGTTCACGTTAGTTAGAAATATGTAATTTGAATACAAACACATTCGTTGCACTACTTAGCAGCTTCAGTCATTAGTAAAGTGCACATTGTTAGAAATCCTCCATTTTGTTCCCTAATTTGATTAGTAAATTGGAGTTTGGAAGCAAAAATATATCCATTTTCAATAATGATAACAAGGGAATCATATTTTGCATTTAAATTCCTACTTAAAATTTAATAAGTAGTGCACTACTGGATTGAATTTTAGATTCCTTGTGGAAATGAAATTAGTAAAAACAAGCTTTGGTTATTTCAAGACTTCTTATCGATATCGTTTATTTTATCGTTTCTGTTTTCGAATTAATTGAACGTGACAAAAGAAGATTGTAAAGAGACAGAGGTAGGCTTATTACAATTAAGTCACAATTTTATGAATTGAGTAATTACTGCTGTGCTATTCCTTGCACGTAATTATTATGTAGATCTGTGAGTAAATTACTT